TGAGGACATAGTCCACCACCTCCTTCTCCTGCTGCCCTCTTTGCAGCAATGGGAGCTTGGGCAGTGACTTTGTGCCTCGGTTTACAAATCTGTAGAATGGGAGCCAGGCGTGGTGGCTCACGCCTGTAATCCCAGCACTTTGGGAGGCTGAGACAGGCGGATCACCAGGTCAGGAGTTCGAGACCAGCCTGGCCAACATGGTGAAACCCCGTCTCTACTAAAAATAAAAAATCAACCGGGCGTGGTGGTGGGCAGCTATAATCCCAGCTACTCAGGAGGCTGAGGCAGGAGACTCGGTTGAACCAGGGAGGTGGAGGTTGCAGTGAGCCGAGATTGCACCACTGCACTCCAGCCTGGGCGACAGAGCGAGACTCCGTCTCAAAACAAAACAAAAAAAAACGCAAATCTGTATAATGAGCATCAAAGTAATAGCACTTGCCTTCCGGGGGACAGCGCAGGTGACAGGAAATGAGCCCAAAGTGGGGAAAATACTCAGTCCAGGGACACTGTTATGATCAACAGCAGTGTGGCATGGCTGAGGGGTGAGCTCCCCATCATATGAGGAAAACAAGCAAGTGGCAGCTGAGATGAGGGGAATTCATCCCAGGCCCTTTTGGCTCTGAGTTCCTCTCCCAGACCAGCTTGTTCCCACTTTTTGAGCGGGGGCTAAGGTTAAAGGTTGCAGGGTGGACCAGTCATGGTGGCTCATGCCCATAATCCCACCACTTTGGGAGGCTGAGGCGGGCGGATCACCTGAGGTCAGGAGTTCGAGACCATCCTGGCTAACAAGGTGAAACCCCGTCTCTACTAAAAATACAAAAATTAGCCGGGCGTGGTTGCGGCGCCTGTGGTCCCAGCTAGTCAGGAGGCTGAGACAGGAGAGTGGCGTGAACCCGGGAGGCGGAGCTTGCAGTGAGCCAAGATCGCACCACTGCACTCCAGCCTGGGCGACAGAGCGAGACTCCATCTCGAGAAAAGGTTTCAGGGTGAAGCTTCGTCGCCGGGGTTCACACTCAGGGCTGAGATTCCAGGACCTGCACTAACACCATAGCCTGGCGAGGAGGCGGTTTCCGAGTTTCCAGGCTTGCCTGGGCTAGTGAGTTCTAATCACCTGGTCCAGGGTCGAAGGGTGACCCGTGCCTGCAGGTCCCTACTGGTGGGTACTTGTGCATATGTGAGATTTTGTTCTGATGAGTTTTCGTCGATTTTTGCCACAGTCTGTGGAGACTGTGCTGTTTACCTGCCTGTTCCCTTCCCACTTCAGACAGCCCCGGGTCTGCTCAGCTTGCTAATTTTTTTTTTTTGAGACAGAGTCTTACTCTGTCTCTCATGCTGGAGTGCAATGGCACAATCTCAGCTCTCTGCAACCTCCACCTCCTGGGTTCAAGTGATTCTCCTGCCTCAGCCTCCCGAGTAGCTAGGATTACAGTGCCTGCCACCATGCCTGGCTAAATGTTTTTCTTTTTGAGACGGAGTTTCACTCTTGTTGCCCAGGCTGGAGTGCAATGGCATGATCTTGGCTCGCTGTAACCTCCGTCTCCCGGGTTCAAGCGATTCTCTCCTGCCTCAGCCGCCCAAATAGCTGGGATTACAGGCATGCGCCACCACGCCCGGCTAGTTTTTGTATTTTTAGTAGAGATGGGGTGTCTTCATGTTGGT